GTGCGAAACTTTGCTCAAAACAGATCCAGATCCAATAAGAAGGCCACCAAACTCACCCAGTTGCGTTTCAGCATCGCGAACGACTGCCCGAACAATTGTTAATCTGCGGGAACTAGAGGAGAATTCTGTTTGTGGAGTGCGAAACTCTGCTCAAAACAGATCCAGATCCAACAAGAAGTCCAACCGAACTCTTGCGACGGGGACCTTGAGGTCACTTTACCCAAGATCTATTCAGGCAGCACGAAACTCTGCGCCGAACGGACCCAAACCCCACATCAAGGACCCTTAAGAGTGTTTTTGGCAATTCGCAAAGACAATGAACGACTGTTTGGCACATCTTGTAGGTGGTCGGGCGACAACCACATCAGGACCGAAGCTGTTCCGCACACCTATGTTTGAGTTAGTGACGCATCGAGATTTTTTGATGTTCGGATGCCGGCGGACTTAGATTGCGGGCATGTCGCACGGGAATCGCTGGGCGGCCTGTTCGTAGCTTGCGCTGCCCCGACACCGAAACCAAACTTGAAATCCTCCGTCGTCGGAGCATAGTGGCAAAGGTCGAGGCATGGGCACGCCCCGCTGAGACAAGGGGATTGTCGGCTGGACGGGCCAGTGGCCTTCGCTCAATATGCGCAGCTCGGATACCGGCTGGACGGGTTAGTGGCCTCCGCACACAGAGACCCTCCGGAACCCCGATTCGGATAGGTGAGCACGTGAAGTTCGTCCGGATCCGAACTCAAAGAGGGTGGAGATAGAGCGAGTCGGAGAGAGAGACAGGATCCATATGTTTGTGGTTTTTGAAATTCGCGTGGAACAAGCAAGACCACAGTTGCATCAGAGGCCACATGAGAATTCGCAGTGCGCCGACACCTTAATTTCTTCTACTTTCTGGATTCGCAACATCTCGAAGCGCGTTAGCCGATGCAGCCTGTATTCCAAGGCCGTGCTCATGCAAGCACACTCGGTAACTGCATATGGGCAAAACGAGAAGTCGGACGCGAGCGAACTAGGGTGGTTTATGCGATCCACCGGGCACCAGGAAGACCACAGATAGACCAACGTACAGCCGAAAACGTGAAGTTCGCCGAGATCCGAACTTAAGGAGGGTGCGATAGAGAGAGACGGTGAAAGAGACACACGATCCGTAATTCTGTGGTTGTTAAACTCAACGACGATCCATGAAGTCCACACTCACATGAGAGGCTAGTTGTGAACGAGAAGTCCGCCCGCATCCGAACTTCTTCTGCTGTCCGAGTTGAAGATATGCGTAGCTTGGCATAGGATGCAACCAAGTTCGAACGCAGGAGCCGGGTCAGCATGTTCTGGGACCCTGTGGGGGTAAAATGAGAAGTCTGGATTCGGGCAAACTCGGGCTGTTGTTGCAATCCACGGGGGATCAGTAAGATCACAGTGATTGTCGCTGACGGCAAACAGACGAAAACGCCAAGTCCGCCGGGATTCGAACTTAAAGACGCTGAGAGAAAGAGAGACATAGAGAAAGATTGGATCCGCACTTGTGCGGTTACCACAGCGCCGTTAGAGGCTAGACGAAAATGAGTTTAGGTGGATTGCTCAGGGTTCACACCACAAGTGCGCGTAGACTCGCACTTAGATGGCAATCAAGGTGCGCACACCATCAACGTGATGATTTAATATGGACGTTGGCTTGTCATTTGTATATTCCTGGGTGAAAATATCATCAAATCTTTGCATGGACAAGAAACATAACATCCGTTCATAACATTAACTATTGTCATCGCAACATCGAGATGAAAAAACTTGCAACCTTACCTTTTGTTTTCCTGAAGGTCAACTTATTAACCACACGGAGAGTTTCGAAAAAATCGTTCAATGCAAAAAAAACATTCAACCGCACATTGTGAAGTACACAACAATGTTTTCAAACACCATTCACTGCAAAAAATCATTCAATCGCACATCGCAAAGTACACAGAGGCTTTTTGAAAATCGCAAATCATAGAACTGCGAACATACTCGGTATAGCGTGTACTTGCAACTACAGCCTCTCACACGTGTCTCTCCTACTTCATATCTACCATTTTCGGCTACACACATGCCTCTCACACCTCTCCCTCCTTTTCCCTTAAACACAACGTCTGACAATCCGTCCGGATCTAGTGACATACGGGGTTTCCCGCGGACGAGGTCGTGAACCGAAGCCATACATAACATTCGTTGATGATCCATATACGTGGATCCGTGGTTCCTCGACTGTTGCATTCTCCGAAAATAGGATATGTATTTCATCCTAACAAACCCTCCTGGTCTTGCTAAGGAATTCCCTATACAGTCTCGTATGTCGGACACTTTCTCTTCCACCTTATGCCACAATCAAAAATCTTCGACCTGGCCTGCTATCACCAAATCTGACCACCCATCTACACCGAGGTACCGCAACGACACGAACTTGGACCCCTCAAGTACCACCTCGTTCCGTGACACACGCACAACTGCATCGACGAGTTTCCTACTTTTGTTCGAAGTAGTGACAAATAGCACTCTGGCGAAATCACATCCGGCAACAGTCAACCGCACACCATAGTATGACCTAGCTTGTGGAGAAATCTCGGGGCAACGGAGTGGGTACTGCTCCAAAAATGAACAATGACGAGTGCAGTCCTCCAACTCTTGTTTCCTCGAACTTCCCCAAGTTCGTGGGGAAGACGTGATGTAGTTGCAGTCGAGGCGACTACCATAGCGGCTAATGCAGCGGAGTGTTTTGCGCTGACGGTTCAGGAACTTGTGCTCGAGAACACCATCAGGCAGTGTAATGAGGTTCCCGAACTCCAACATATTGACAAACTTGTAATAGCTTGCCCGAGGGGAGTCACTCTTCATCGCGTTCCAAGTAGCATCGCTCCAATCGTCAAGATGTCGCTTCATGTGTGGGACGACGGTCATCCATGGGTCCTCTTCAAAGTCCTCTCTGGTTGCTTCATGGATCCAATTACAACCGTTATAATGTCGCACCGATTTCGCACAAGGAGGAAACGGTTCTGCTAAGCGCATGTGGGTCTCGGGACTCATGCTCATGCTTGTCGACGTTCTCGACGACATTATGCACCTACACACCACACACATATATCAAATGATACATGCGGACATATAGACACTCGTAAACAAAGTTGGAAAATGACAACTCCCCTAGTGAGGCCTACACCCAGTCGTGACGTCTCGAACTGAATATTCACAAGGTTTCTACGTGCTTTCGAGCACAGGTACTGTACAAGCACACGGGCATGCAGCTCTGGCCGATGTGTTCATGTAACTGCCTTTTTTCCCCCCTAATCAAGCAACATTTTCTCCATTTCTAACTCCCACTGATGGTACTTGCCTATCTAAGTTGAACTATCTATAACACGTTTAACATCGGGACTCGTGAATACCCAACAAATGATGATAGAAAAATGCGTTATCTTTTTAGTCAAATTGTTCGGATTGAGTGCAAAAAGAGATCGTTCGAGGTTAGACAGTAATGCGGGTCCGATCAAGGGGCACAAGGAAGACCACAGTCGGATCAAAGAGCATGTGGAAACGCGAAGTTCGCCGGTATCCGAACTTATGGAGGGTGCGAGATATATATATATATATAGAGAGAGAGAGAGATAGGTTATATACTTGCATGTTCGGCGAAATCCACTGCGCAGTAGGAAGACCACAGTGTCGTTGGAGGCTAGACGAAAATGAGTAGTCCGCCGACATCCGAACTTGTTCTGCTGTCCGGATTCGCAATGTGTTAAGTTCGGTAGCCGATGCAGCCAATGTTCGACGGTCGGACCCGAAGAATCATTTCGGTTGTCACGCCAGGGCAAAACGTGAAGTTCGGATCCGAACGAATTTGTGTTCTTGTTGGAATCCACGGGGCGCCTGAAAGACCACAGTCAGAACTGAGAACATGTGAAAATGCGAAGTTCGTCAGGATCCGAACTTGACGAGGGCACCAAGATCCGTACTTGCATGGTTGGTGAAATTCAGGAGGCACCAGGTCGACCACAGTCACAAAAGAGGTCCGATGAAAAGGCGAAGTCCGCCATCAACCGTAATTTGCATGCTGTCCGGTTTCCCGATATGCGACGTTTGGTCTTGGACGCAGGTAACGTTCGAAGATCTGATTCGAGCAAGTATGTTCGATGATTCCGTTTCGGAATAATGTGAAGTTCGGATTCGGGCGGACTTGGTTGTTATTCGAATCCACGGGGCTCTAGGCGAGCCACAGACTTGTCGTATGAAAGGTGGGAACCTGAAGTTCGTCGAGAATCGAATTTTGCAAGAGTGCGTAATAGAGACAGACAATTGTTTGTCAAACTCGCTGTCCCACACTCTCTCGAAGCAAGGTCGTTGGCCATGTCTCCCTCCGAACTTAACATATCGTGAAATCGGACAGCAGAAGAAGTTCGGATTCCGGCGAACTTCGCGTATTCACCGGTCTTCTGATGCGCCTATGAATTTGGACAGCAACCAGATCCATGCTTGTGTTACTGTACAAAAATCGACAGGCGCATCAAAGGACAGATGAAAATGCAAACTTCGCCGGAATCCGAACTTCTTCTATTGTCCGATTTCACGATGTGTTAAGTTCGGAGGAGGCTATAGCCAATGTCAGGAGGTCGGATTTGGACGACCTCGTTCCGATGTCCCGTTTGGACAACATATGAAGCTCAGATGCGGGCGTACTTGAGTTGTTAGTCAAATCCGCGCGGACGCAGAAAGACCACAGCCATATCAGGGGATATGTGAAAATGCGAAGTCCGCAAGGATCCGGACTTGAACAAAATGTGGTACTGAGAACTTGGATGAGAGTTCAAGAGAGAGGTGGAGGAAGAGATGGCAAGAGATAGAGAGAGATCGAGAGAGATGGATGGAAATGGGAAGAACCGGGCGGGCTCATGCTGGCGTGAGGGAACAAATTTGCGCGAGAGTTAGATATGCATATCGTCGATTCGTTGATAACCGAGGTTCGACGCGATGTGATGGCCAATGTTATCCAAGGTTCGATGCGACCCGATAGTCAATGTTGGCTGTCGGGCCGCATCAAACCTTGTTTATCAGCAAACCGGGCGAAGTAGAAGTTCGCCAACATCCGTATTTTTTTCTCTGTCTCTCTCTCCGGCACACCGACGATCCTGGTTGATCTAGAGAGATACGGGGACATGTCCGCAATCTGCAACGGCGCTGGGAAATGTTGGTCGTCATTGTGTGAAGATCCGGTGTTCTCCTCGTCCTGTTGCACAAACAGAACAACACAAACGATAGATATTTGCTGACAGGTGACGACAGGTTGCGTAGACGAATGATTATGTTGGATCGCCGACACGAGCATTTTATTCATTGCAACTGAATGATTGCGTTGGATAGCCGACACGAGCATTTTATTCAATGAGATGCCTGACGCAAGGTTTGATCGCCGACACGAGCATTTTTTTCATTGCTTGATTGATTCTGATCATTCTAGTGCTTGTTTATTTGTCAGACCCCTTCATCGATTCAAAGCTTGTTTTCTACTTTCGAATGTCGTGTGGTCTTAAAGAGTCGAAATCTAACAAACACACATACACGAACACCGAACGCACACGACCGATTCGTCGATCGATGGAGCATGATCGTTCTGTCTTAATCTACTGTTCATCTTTGTATGGACCATATCGACTGATCAAAGATTCACTTGCATAATACTCACGTGCAAACGCCCGCTTTCGCACGGAAACGGACAACCGTGCACACACACGCGCACACACTTTCCATGGAAGGGTGGCTCGTCCAAGCAAACCGTTGCATGGAATGGTTGATTTGATCATTGCTCGAATGGTTGATTTCATCATTGATTCCCTGGTGACGATGGGGCTCATTGGAGGAACCGCCCGGGCTCAACACTTTCGTCACACACACGCATTAACACATCTACATATGACAGTACAGGTGAAAGCTAAGGCAACACAGGAAACAATGCAGGAAACAGAGAAATACACGAAACAAATGAAACGCGTGCAAAAAACGCACAGCAAGACTTAGTCGCCACAGACAAACACCCGTCCGAACGCAGGAGCGCGCAACAGGCCATGAGTGAATGCAGGGGCTCGCTCGAACGTGCACAGTCACACGTACGCACACACATGGAATCACTATCACACATGGCCTCACTCTCACACACATCCGCGGGGGAAAGGAACGTCGCGTTCTATCAGTCACCCTTTCGACAGGTACTCACCTCGGTGAAGATGTCGTGTGGAGAATAGATCCTTCGCACCAAAACTAAAGCCGCGGTGATCACTGTGGAAGTGGCGCGACTTGCATGGTGTGGCGGCGGATGGTTTGCGTTAAACGAGCAGCGGGCATGCGAAACAAGCCCGACGGCAGGTCACTGATTGGCAAGAAAGACAACGTGACGCGGAAGGTGCTTTGCGATGCAAGTGCGCGCGGGTTGTCTGTTCAGACAGCAAAGGATGTGGCGCAGCATTGAAGATCGCGATGGCGTCAGTCGTCGTACGTGTTGCTTGCGGTCGCCTGCGGTTATCGATTTCTCTGCAGGTTGGATGACGTGGCGCAGTGTTGGAGATTACGATGGCGTCAATCACCACCGTTCATGGGCGATGGTGTTGACAAGAGAGAGAGTTCAAGTGGTTAGTTCGACAGCATCTCCCCACGACATGCGATAGTGCGAAATGAGCATTGGGGGGGCAGGATTCGTTTCATAGGCTTGCACGCTCTAGACACGCAAAGGGTTTTCCGCGCACAAGGCCTTTTTCGAAATCAAATTGCGGGCCCGGTTGGGGGGGCGGGAACTTTAGACCCATTGGACCGAAAGAAAAAAGCACGGGAGTCCAAAAACCGTTCGATTTGCCCAATCGATGACCACGGTCCGTCGGCGCAAAGGGCCTGCATACGACACGTCGCGGTTGAGGGCCGTTGCTGGCAATCGCTCGTGGGCCTTTGCGGACGCTGCCGGGTGACTCGGGGGKGGSRGGGGGGGGGSGGGGSGGGGGGGGGKTTCGCTGACGGGCAGGAGGGCCATTATCTCATACGGCAAACGAAAGCACGGCCAGCCCTGGCCGAGCCATCTGATTTGCGCATCGTACGACCGTTTCTCGCCAGGAAGCAGGGTCTGCGGGGTGAACGTGGCACTGGTGAGCGGGATGGGAGGCTACCGGGAGGAGGAACGTCACACTGGAGATCAACCTGGAGGCAGCCGCGCTAAGGCCCTCCCAGTTCACCCTCCCCTTCCCTGAAATCCATCATGCTCGACGACAGCTCCGCTGCGCTGCGCCATCCTTGTCGTGCGCCCCGAGCTGCGCCATCGCCGCCGTTCGCCCCTTGCAGCGCCATCGTCGTCGTTCGCCCTTAGCTGCGCTACGCCGCCGTCGTCCTCGACGATTGACCTTCCTGGTGCGTTGGTGTTGCGCTCGAAAACACCACGGCGTCAGGAGACCGTCCCGCTTCTCGCCAATTTCACGCAAGACTTTTTGCACGTCATGACAGTCTCGAAATGCCGAGGGTCGTCGCCCGTCTGCATGTCGTGTTCCCCTGTCCATCCACTCCTCTCTCCATTTTCTCGCCGCCCCCAGCATTTGTTCTTCAGTGATGTCCGCCGCAGGCAGTCTGTGGTGTGGAGAGCTGATCGCGTAGGCAACCGTGGGTGACGTTCGAAGATCTGCCGCGTTGAGTGTAACAGATCACATGTCCCTGAAGAAAAAAAACATCCAATACTGCGCGCCACGTGCCGACGACCTGAGACATCGACGCCCACCGCGCAGACTTTTTTCACGAGCAAAGCTGCTAGCGACGGGAGGCTAGCAGTGCATGCTGTCGACCAGTCCCATGGTGGCATGATCGGGCGAGCACAAGCTCATACAAGTCATCTATGCGTTCATGCCAACGCGTTCATGCCACCGTGGGATTGGCCGTCAACAGGCAATGCAAGCTTGTCGTCGAGAGCTGCTTTGTTCGTTGATGGAGAGCAGACAATTGGTAGTGATGCTTGTGGTCCCCTGTGTGTACATGAAATTGATGGGTTCATCTTAACAAAGGTCACTGGTGTGTGAGTATCACGTGTTCGCGCGCATTTTCATGAACACGCATCTTCATGATCAAGCGACCATGATCACGCGATCATGACTGTTCTTGAGCAATTGTCCGCGCGCATTTTCATG